TAGAAATGTCATTTTCTGGCATAAGGAATTCAAACAGTTGCAGAAATGACAGATTCCAGAGCAGAGGGAGAGGAAGTAGAAGACAAGCCTAGAGAATCTTGTTCCAGAAAGCAAGGAATTACTCAACGGATGAGGAGGATCTGACAAGGGATGGTGACAGGGGAATCGGCCAAACTAGGTTCCCGCTGAGCAAACAGGCAACTCTGGGCATCAGAATAAATCATGACAGTAGCTGATTATAATCCATTGAATAAAATAGGAAACCACGAGTCCACACGGAGATAAACTGACAGATTGATGTAGCAGGAGATATTTATATGCTTTTGACAACGCTTCCCCACATACAGATATGTGTTGATTATAAAGGGGCATAGAATAACTGTATGGGGGAAAAGCCTGGTGAACACCCCTTTCACCAAGGTCAGGTCACATGCCAACCGCTAAGATTCCCTGAGAAAGAGGCAGCATTACATCTGTGATTTCCTTGCCGATCATGAGGATACACGAGATAAACCGAAACTGAGGGAAATCGTTTAAAATCACTCACGGGACGAACAGTGACTCCCCAAACTCCTGTCCATCCAGAACCCCAGAATGTGACCTCACTTGGAAATAGGTCTTTGCAGATATAATTCATTAAGAAGGTCAAGATGAGGTCATCCTGGATTTAGGGTGGTCCCTGGATGCACAGACGGGCATCCTTATGAGAATGTAAGCAGACACAGACACATGCACAGGGAAGAGACCCACGGGAAGAGAAGCAGATGTTGGAACGATGCTGCCATAGCTAGGAAATGCCAGTGATGGCCAGCGGGCCCCAGAAGTTGGGAGAGAGTCAGGAAGCAGAGTTTTCTTCAAGCCTCCAGGAGAAACCAACCTGGCCAACCCCTTGATTTTTGGATTCTGGCCTCCTGAGTCTGTGAAAGAATAAGGTTTTATTGTTTTAAGCCAACCAGTTTGTGGTCCTAGTGATGGCCATCCCAGGAAACGAATGAAGAAAAGGACCCATCACCTTCCAACCTCCCACTGATACTGCCAGTGCCGTGAGGTCAAAGAAAGACTGGATAACGTGGCCCGAATGGAAAGCAACTGAAGAGACATGGTCCAGACCGAGGAGACCCCAAGGTGCTCCCTCATCCCTTACGCCTTGTGACAACACACGGAGAACATGGCCGTCTGCGAACCTGGAAGCTGGTGGCTCAGTACCTTCAACTCGGACTTCAGCCTCCAGAAGCGTGAAGAGTACTTTCCTGTCATCTGTATGGCACCCCCCGTGCCTGGAGTTCTGTTCTCGCCGCCCAAAGGACTAGCACAGCTTGATACGGACCATAACACTAATCAGGAACGGCCAAGGCAAGCGCATCCCTTCCTTCTTCACGAGGGATCAGCCCTGCTAATTGCCTTGGATTTGAAACCGCCACCGGCTACGTCTGCTTCAGGCTGGTCAGTGCGCCTTCGTCTCCCAGCTCCACAGCCTTGCCAGGAGCGAGGGTTTGGGGGCACTGGGAAGGGTGCCCATTGCCGATGTCTCCTCCATGTGAGTAAACCCAGGGAGCAATCCCTTTCTGGGCAAATATGCCCCTTCCTCAAGCAACTTCTGCATTTGAACAGCCTCTCTACTAGCATTGCTGCCCCCCGCCCAGGTGAGTGACAGGTTGGGGGAGATGGCAGAGCTCTGATCTTGGCTAGCAGTGGACACCAGTATGTCTGTGTGGTCAGCAGTGGACACCACTATGTCTCTGTGGTCTCTACTTGCTTTGAGACCAAAGGAAAGGCAGCAACCCTGCCCCCTCCTCCATTTCTTGCATCTCCAGTTCCTCATTGATCACATGAGCGGCATGAAGGCAGGAGCCCTCCCGTACATCCTATAGAACCGTTGTACGGCTCAGTCCCGGTTCGGACATAGAACATGTCATCTGACCTCCACTCTTCAGGATGGGGTCACGTGCATGTCTAAATGCAGGAGGCTTCTCAGCCTACGGACCACAGCCCTTGAGCCGGGGGTAGGGTGGTTGCTGGGGGGCGGGGCACAGCTGCAGAATCCTATGGCAACGCTGGGGGACCCATCAGGGGAGGGCTACGTTCCTGCACTGGCTGGAACTTTGTGGCTTTCTACATGTGGATGGTACACCGATTCGCTCACTCTTTGGTCTGTCAAAGTGTCATCCGGAAGTGAAGCGGACGGTGTACTGCTCGAAGGACACTTGTAAACGCGGAGGAGAAATGGAAAATTCACAGGAAGTACGTGAAAGAGCTCAGTAAGTGCGTGCTTCATGTCTGCCCCGTTGAGAGGCACCCGCCCCGTGCTTCCCGTCTCTGCGTGCCCGCGCACCGAGGCACGTGTGAGGATGCTGGTCCACATTCGTGGTGGCTTTAGTTCCAGATGACGCTGGATGTGCAGTTATGTAAGGAGGGCAGAATGTCCATTCAGAAATCCTGTCTACAGTGCGGCAAAGACTGAGTCCTCTGCTTGCCTCTCTGTAACTCAGGCACGTGCCTGAGGAATTACACTGAAGGGACAGATGTCAGGAGTGCGTCAAGACACATATTAGTGCTGAGCAAGCCAAGGTTTTGGTTATGCCACCAGAGGCAAAACTGGGGGCAGAGCTGAGTGATTACGCGGCGAATTCAGCCCAACTGAATGGTCGATCTGCAAATAATAATGATAATCACGATTAATAATAATTACTAGTGATTATCAGTAATTGCTACTGATCATTAGTAATTATTATCGTTGTTTTTTAAAAACGGGTCCACTTCTGGTGGCCCGCAGAGACTGCTTTTCCAATCCTGTTTTGGGTTATGTGGATAATCAACGGCAGCTTTCAGGTTTACTTTGCCAGAGTGCAGATACAGCTTAGGCAAGAAAAACCTCAAAACCGTGAACCTCCTTCATGATTGGTTCCTCCGCTATAAAATTAATAGACTGGATCCGAAAACTTTCTGGGACTCATATTTACAAATATCAAGAGGGAAAGGGAGTCTGTTTATCTGTGTTAACTATCGGGGAAAAAATGAAGAGCAGAAAAACTAAAACCGGCCACAGATAAGGGCCCTGGTCTGTTCAGACTCCCCGTTCCATGCCCAGAGCCGAACGGCTGTTCTCTGCGAGCTGCTGGTGTGCTCACAATGCACCCGATATTGTGAAACCAGAACGTAACGGAGGTTGTATTTTTGTTTGTTTGTTTGTTTGAATACACTGCTTGCTCCTTTAGAGCATTATATAACTTCAAAACCAAACCTAGTTTCTCTAATTGCCAGTGGAAACAGGGGGTTACCATAGTTACACAGTAAAGAGGGTTCCTGAAAAGAAGAATAGAAAGACTACTGAAATTTTAAAGGACAGATTCAAAAGCATTAGAAAACTGCCCCGATCGGGGACCTATTAGGCTGACAATCACAGTAATTACCCAGCAAACCTATCGGGATCTGGGTCTGTTGGGAGTGCCTGGTTTCCGCAGTCCGGACGCGTGAGGACGCGCTGTGAGCGGCACAGAGCCCGAGTCGGGTCCTGCCCCGCCGGAGAACTCGGTCCAGCACCCGTGGCTCAGAGAAAGCAGCATTGCAGTACACTGCTACTATTCCCGCATGGCAGAACACGGCCGCCCTGCACACACCTGTCCATGAGCTAACGACGGTTTTCGGGGGGAGGAGTGTCCACCAGGACGGTCAGAGACATAAGCAGTGCGTAAAGTCGCTTCGATGTCTAACATGCTAACATTTGTTTGTGCTCACGGGGGCACCCATAAAAATGGGTTGAAATATGTTACAAATAGGAGAGTCACCTAAAATGATAAAAAGGGGGGCAATTGAGCAGACAGACGGGTGTGGAACTAAATGGAAGATGTTCATGTCACGTCTGAAACATGTTAAGATTCAGCCACCTGTGTTCTAGGGGAGCAGGAAATAGGCACCCCAAGGAGGATCCCTACCGAGGCCTGTGTCTCTGCATAACTCATAAGGAAAGAGGCAATCGGTGGTGGTTATGTGCTAAAAATTGTGTATTTGGAGCTTTTAGGAGCCCTAAAAGTGATTTAAAGGATGGTTTCAAATGTTAAAAGAGAAATGCATAACAATTAAACAGAGGCAATGAAACCAGTTTGTTTCTTTTTTTTTTTTTTTTTTTCCTAACTGCCTCTTAGTAATTAAGAGTTGATGCTTGGCAAAGCCCCCCACACACAGATTTAAGACTTGAGACAGTGTCCAGGAATTAGTATAAACCCACATCCAAGTCCTCAAAGTGATAGGATTGCTACTTAGAAAGTGGAAGAGCTAAATCAGTGTAATAGGACTTAAAATAATGGATGAATGATTATTTTCGATTGAATTCTTCTTTACTGGGCTACTGGATGGACCTGGTTCTTCATATGTAGACGTGTATCTTCTAGGTTCCTTGAGTCGATTTACCCACTACCTAGAGTGATGGGTCAACATCTGATGGTATGTGGCCTGGCCGGAGACAGAGAGAGGAAGCAAGACATCAGCTGTAAGAGACAGAGATACGGGTAAAGAGACAGAGGTATTAAGGAGAGCTGAGGGTTTACGAGAGGGAACCATGAAAGCAGCCTGACAATCACCTTAGCGGGTTTGCGCGGGTTGGGCTGGGCTTTAAAAAGAGGAAAGTGGGCAGGGAATGCACTTCTGCTGAAGAGACAGGCAAACCCCTCCCCCTAGTGCCCGAATCTGCTGGGCTTCCGGGCTGCCATGTCGCATTGTCTGTAGGAAGAACGGCGGCCCTCCAGTTTCAACACCCCATGGTGCACCCAAATTGCTTACCCTCTAAATTTCCCAAAGGACCTGCCTGCTCTCTGGAAAGGACGCCTCAGGACCCGCGTACGTCCTGCCTAATAAAATACCTCTCATTTCCTTGCACAGAAGAAATAACCAGAAATATTACAAAAACTAGTAACAGAGAATCCCAATAGTTTTTTTTTTTTTTTTAATGATTTCATTAGAAACTTCCATCCACAACGATGTGGACAAAAATTTAAAAAACAAAAAACAAGTATGAAGTCTTCTCTGCATTATAAACTCGTAAGCATTCTATTCAAACCAGTTTTCTTTGAGGAGAAACCTAATGGCGTCATCAAAGCCAAGTTGATACAGAGATTCCATTTTCCTCTTGCTTGGTGGGAAAAGGGCTTGGTTAAGCCTCACGAGGTTTGCCACGGACAGCTAGAAGAGAACAGACTGAAGGTAGAAGACAGTACACGTTAACGGCACTGACGATTTCTTACTGTAGATACAAATCGTGGCTTTACAAAATCAGCTGGAGAAAATGGAACTTTAAAGGTCTAACTTCAGCCTGAGACGAGCTGAGGGTTTCTCAGCCTCGTAGCGCTCACCCCTACGTACTGGATGCTAGCAGCACCCCCAGAGGGGACAACCACCCACGTCCCCTACCTGTAACATCGCCTCCTGTTCTGGACCACAGGGACTGGAGGGAAGGGAGCCCATATTTTACCTAAGTTATTCAGTTGAGCCCCAAAGCTTTTGTCCTGTATTTTGCCATACTTAACGGTCGTTTTTAAACAAATGATCTGATTTAAAATTGCACTGAAAACCTGCTGTATGTTCTCTGTCCTGAAGAAGAGGGAAAAAAGAGAACTTTCCCCAAACAGATAGTACAGAGTGAAAGGCTTGTGCACTCACAGTGTGTAGGTTCCCCAGGCCCATGTGCATGCGTGACGTGACATGTGTTGTCGACTAGTAAGAAACCCTATGGCCGAGAAGATGCCATTTGCATATAAAATTATCAATGAGCTTCCAAAGTTTCGGAAGCATGTGGTAGTTTTTAGGCGATTATCTGCAAATGTATTGGTGCCTCTGGCTCACCATTACGTCCTGATTGGTGAGATTAACGTAGAGGTCCAGCTTTCCTTTGTCCTGCGGGGAGATGTCCAGGCGTCCGCTGAAGGGTGAGATGGTCACCGTTCGGCCTACAGGAAGGATGGGTAGGCTGTTCGTGAGGCCTCCATCCACCCACTTCTGTGGAAAGAAAGACCCCCTTGTCAGCACACGTCAACGTCACGCCTGCTACGAAGATGAGCACAGACTTTCCAACAGGGCTCTCTCCTTCTCGTTGAATCCATGCCCTGGAAATGCTCTTAAATGACGACCAATCACCACCCATCAGATGGGTGATTTCTGTACAAGTCCTTGCATACATATCATTTACCTACATAATGAGAACCTCACAGAATCGGGAAGCCTCTCCAGCTGCTTATTTATTTTTTAAAAGATGTCATTTATTCATGAGAGACAGAGAGAAAGATGGAAGCAGGGGCAGTGCGTGAGGCCGACTCCCCAGTGACCAGGGAGCCCGATGTGGGACTTTATCCCAGGACCCAGGGATCAGGACCTGAGCCGAAGGCAGACACGTTACGACTGAGCCCCCCCAGGCACTCCCTCTCTAGTTGTTTAAAACCTTTAACTGGATTATTGTACATAAGAAGTACCTAAATGTTTATAACAGTGCATACACAAGAAGCCATGGAATACGCTTGGGGTGCATAATTATGTCAAAGGGGAAAGCCACCGTCACAGTTGGTACTGCGTAGACCATCCACCATCACCTTCTGTGTTTATTACAAGCAGTAGAAACTGGCATTTCCCGTCGCAAACTTAAAAGTAAGCTGAGCAACCAGAAATCCTTCTATTTCTAAAGTGGCACCTGTCTTCCAGACATGAGGTTTTAAAGCCAGAAAAAATGGGAAGTACGATATTTAGAACAAAACAAAACAAAACAAAAAACGCTATTGAACTCCGAAGAGGTTCTGTGTTTTCCAAAGGGGACAGATGGACAGAGCAGATAAGAAAAGCTTCCAGAAGCGCCTGGATAACTATGTTAGGAAAAAGGACAAAGAAACAGAAATCCTTACGCTACCCATTTCAAAGCAAGTGAATGGACAGTACTGACATCATCGGGTCTAACAACAGACGTGCAGACACACACGACAGAAGTACAAATTCTCCACGTTGTCTCTGTGATGGAAATAACCTTCACTTGACAGGGAAAAAACAGTGTGATAAGGGTTGAGAACCCCTCGCCGAAGAACCTTTAGTGGAGAATTCTGCTATGCTGTTTCCCCTGAACATTTGGAACGCGACGTAGGAAAACCCAAGCTGTTCTGTTCAGCACAAAGGCAGAGCGAGAGAAACGAGTTAATACAAAATGCCCTGAACTTGGTTAAAACATACATTTGTTTTGTTCTAAGGTGTCTGTGTGTGTGTGTGTGTGTGTGTGTGTGTGTCTGTTTTACTCCTTTTTATTGGTAAAGCTAGTGACGGAATGATCAGTCCCTGCACAGTTCACAATGGCTTCGCCCAGCCACTAACTCCCCCCGCCGCCCCGCCAGAGGGAATAAAAGTAGATACATGAAAAGGGAAAGCGTGCTGAAAATGTGAGGGGCGTGCATTTTGGTGTCGGAGAAAACAGAAGTAGAGTGGATTATAATACACCAACCTGCATAACTTACGTGTTGTCGTTCTTTCTAACAGAACATAACAGACATCACCATGTAATTACGTTCTATGTCTCATATAGACACATTCATGTGTGTGTGTGTGCTCAACACACCCGTGTTCCCATGTGTTTGTGTCTACATATGCTTATAAACACAGTTCAAAATAAGGGAGATTTGCAGTGAGAAGCTCCTCAAATTCTGCTTCCATACCTCCTGGTCCCAGAGCTCCCATTTGTTTTTCTGATTGCTTTGGGCATGGATACGGATTTCTGGCATATGTTCATCGCTAGAGAAGGGGAGGGAAAAAAAAACAAAAAAAACTTCCAAAATCATCGTTCGTATTCTCAATAGACTCTATCACCAATGACAGAAAAGTCTGGGTAGTTTTCATCAAGCGAAATTAGAAATATGTACCGTGTGTCATATGAGCTCATCTGACTCGCTCAACTTAAGGGAAGGAAGGAAGGGCCGTCTGGCTCATCACGGTGCAGAATGCTCTCATTTACCACAGGGCTAATGACTGCTGTCTCCCGGAACTGAAAATTAGTTCTCCGAATTTTCCTCCCTCTCGTTAGCTTATTCTGATTGGATAAATGATGGTGGCAAACATATAGCTTATCCAATGTCTTGATTAGATTTGCAGCACTACCAGCTCTGCTAGAACCGCACTCGGTACCAGCTCAGACTCTCCAAGAGCTCTGGACTGGGTTCCCGATTTACACTCTCAGGAGCTGTATTGTTCCCCAAACCACGCATTCCTGCAGGCATGCAGATTCTAGCAATATCTCTAGAAACAACGGTTACAGCAGGAAACGTTCCTCACCCACAAATTAAAAGTGGGGATCTTCTATATTTAGCGTGCTCTACTTTACAAGCCTGCATTTAAATGCTGCTGTCCTTGGGGCGCCTGGGTGGCTCAGTGGGTTAAGCCTCTGCCTTCGGCTCAGGTCATGATCTCGGGGTCTTGGGATCGAGCCCCGCATTCGGGCTCTCTGCTCAGCGGGGAGCCTGCTTCCTCCTCTCTCTGCCTGCCTCTCTGCCTACTTGTGATCTCTGTCTGTCAAATAAAGAAATAAAATCTTTTTAAAAAAAAATAAATGCTGCTGTCTTCGAATTTGCGGGTGGTTTGCCACATGTTTCTACAAGTCATCTCATCCTTCCCACCTTGTGGGCAGCATTCTGTAAGGTGGTAACTACCGCCATGAACTTCTGTGATTCCGGAATCTTCTTTGGGGAGAGAAGCAAACTGTGCTAGTGCCTCCCGTGATGGTTTCGTACCAATTCTAAAGGCACAGTGGTAATTGTCCCACCCAAACAGGGCAGGTTATGATGTGTCAGGACGTGCCCAGGTTTGCCTTACACACGGATGTGCTCCGGAACAGATGAGGAACATGTCCCGAGATTCATACATTCAGACAATTCTTGGTCCATAACTAAAGGGGAGAAGCTAAGGAAGTCATCTCTCTTCTAAGGGCCTATGGATTCATTCTGCAAGGACTTCAGGACATCTGATGTGGACACCAAGATACGGATGTTCCTGAGCAAGACGGGATGCAGGGCTGAACTGTCTTCAGGGGTTTTGTTCAGAAAGCAAGTGACTGCAGAATTCTTTGTCAGGAGAACGAACGCGATGTCGAAAGCTAGAATTACCGTATGTGCCATGGCACAGGGCCTCCTGATTTATGAAACCACCCCCCTGTATGACCTCGTTCATCTTTGAGCATGCCGGCAGATGGGTAGGTCATGCTCGTCTCATCCGTTTGCCCGTCTTACAGGAGAGGAAACTGAGGCTTGAAGGGTTCGTCACGCTAGGTTGCAGGCTGGCGAACTGCGGCCTGCCGCCTGCTTTGGTGAATAAAGTTTTATTGGCATGCAGACGTGCCCTCCAGTTTATGTTTTGCTGTTGCTGCTTTCCCACGGCCACAGCAGAGCTGAGCGGCCGGGTCAGCGGAGCCCGCACGCCCCACCAGGCCGCCGGCCTCTCCTAGCGGGCGCCTTCCGGGAGTTCTGTGCCCGTCCCCCTGCGGAGCGGGCGCGCAGACGGTGTGCGGCGGCCCCGCACTTGCACTCTTCCTTCTCCCACACCGTGCCACGGCCACCGGGATCAGAACCGTTTCCTGCGGGGGCAGGGGGCGTGGCCGGGGCAGCAACTAAGTCCTGACGAATTACTCAGCATTCGCGGGCCTGTCTTATCTTGTATGATATAGAGGAACAATCGTTATGGCCAACAGAACATTCTCGGTCCTTGAGTCTCAGAATGGAGGCCGGGAGGAGAGACAGAAAGACAAGGAGATGCCTGTTCTCCACGACGTAGGTCAGAATCTCCCATCTCAAGTGCAGAAACATGAGTGGGAAGGAGAGATCGACGAACTTTCCTCAAGAAAAGGGAGACGGCTGAAAATACATAAGAAATTTAGGAAGAGGCTGAACAACCCTGCTACTATTGGACTAAAGATCATTGGTACATTGTCTTAATTTTGGAACTTCTCATTTTTTATTTAAAAAATGGTGATACTCAATTTTGAGAAAACACGGAGTGTTACATCAAAAATATTCCGTGAAAGACTAATAATGTGTTTTTTCAAAAAGACCATGCAAAAAATTGTAGCATGTTGCTGAAAAATAAGGTCTTCTCTTTCAGATGAACTGGGAATTGATGCGCGGATTTCCATCCCGCCTGGTGGCTGGTGACCAAGCCTTTGAGGGGACTGAGCCACGTATCTGTGTGAAATGTCTAAATCATAAAGAAGTAGAAGCCTAAGGTCTGTAGTAACGATTTTATACAAGTACATAGTGACGTAGACTATGCCACAGCTCTCCCTCCCTCAAATTTGTCAATAATGAGAGTTAATAATCTATAACCCATGAAAAATGCTCAATAGACCCGAAGAAGTCAATGTTAAATTTTCTCTATATAAGTCAACATATTACCCAAATTTTATTTCAGACAACAGACAACAAAAACCCGCAAATTCTGAAGCTTTTCTTGAGATGTGCATCTGTCAGCTCTAAAGATGCTCTTATTCTGTTATTCTGACATTTTAGTCCCTTGCCAATCATAGTGCCATCTCTTAGAAACAAAACAACTTGTTAGTCAAGAGCTCCTCTTGAAAATGCTCATTTTTGTTCCAAACTGATGGCAAGAACCTGTGAAAACGTGGCCTGATGTAATGCATGTCCGGAGGCCATACATACAGATGGAAAGGTCATTAGTAAAAAATACAAGTCTGGCCTTCAGTGTGTTTGCATTCTCATTCATGTATTCCGCTGTCAATGACTCCCTACCATAAATAAGGTTTTAAACATGCTCTTAAAAGATGAAGCCAGGAAAAGCTACGAGAACTTTTTTTTTTTTTCTATTTTGTTTATTTATTTGAAAGAGAGAGAGAGAGAGAGAGCGCTCAAACCGGGAGAATGGCAGGCAGAGCGAGAAGCAGACTCCCTGCGGAGTAGGGACCCTGAACTGGGGCTCTATCCCAGGAGGCTGGGATCATGGCCTGAGCCAAAGACAGATGCTTAACCGACTGAGCCACCCAGGCGTTCCTATGAGGAATTATTTTTTTAAAAATTAGGTTAAAGGAAATAGAGGTCATTCCACTTCAAACAGCTGGTAGACAGGTTAGGAAAGAAATATACTGTTTGTCAAGTTAATCCTCAGTGTTACAAAAGTATGACACTTTTAAGTGATTAATAATTGATTTTAAAAATAAAAACATTAGGTCCACAAATATATATTAATGAAATCCACTATGTTCAACACGTAGTTTCTACCAGATGTGGAACAAGGAGGTCTGTGCATTGCTCGGGGCCGGAAGGAGCGGAGTCCGCATGTGGCCCTTCTTGGTCTCTGCCACACGGGCACTGCTCTGTGTCCCAAGGCTTGACGGCCCCAGTGCAAGTCGTCCTCCGTTCCCTTTGCCCCCACTGTGGGCACAACCTCCCTTACTTCCGAGAAACCACCACAGCAAACACCCCAGTCAAGACCCGAGTTCCACGAAAACTTTAAAACCTAGAAATCGAGAGATGTTTTCAGCATGATGGAAATTTTTCTGTAATTTAAATCCTAGGAAAAGCTCACACCCACAGCAGGACACTGTGTTTCAAGCACAAGAACCATTTCCCTGAAAATGGAACAGTTCTGGAAAATAACTTGGCCTAGAAACCCTCTAACACCGTGGGAGGCTATCAGGCTGATGGAGAGTCTGCGATGAGCACAGAGCAAGCCTGCCCTGTTTTTGGGGTCTGCGTCAATGGACAAGGTCTCTGAGGGCACCGTCCGTCCTTGGCTACATGCCGTCTCCTCTTGGTGGACATCACTAAACCACCAAGGAATACCGAATGCTTTCAAAAGGCATCAAAATTAAGTACTTATCATGTGTCTACTATGGACACACGTGGGTCATCAGCAAGACCTTGTCTTCCTGCCCAAGGTCAGGGGCCTCAGTGGTGGTCTCCATCCTTCTCCCGGCCTGGGGGCCGCCTCCCCTGCTGCAGAGCTATGGCTGGGCTTCCACAGTCATGTCCAAGTGCTCAGTCACGTAAAGGGAAACGCAGCTGAGAACAGCTGACCCTTTTAACCACTACTAGTCATCAGATCACAAACCGAAGAAGCAGGAACAGGGATGGAGGGAGATAAGCCGAGGGATATGAAGGGACACACTACGCAAACTGGGGCAAGAGGCACGGACGGCAGAGACACAGTGGTTGGGGATCCTCCTGGGAAGGCTGCCCCCTTAGTAGCTAGCTGTTCTCGGGGAAGTAACCAAACATCTCTGCATCTGCATACCTCATCTTTAGATACCAGGGAGTAATCCCTTCTGTTGCCGCTGACAGCAACCAGTCACAGCACAAGTTTTACTTCCTTTTCTGGGAAAAAGAAAATGCACTGTGGTGTGCTATAGGTGTCCTCCCCAAATCATTTAGGGTCTTTCTAGCTCACTCTGTGGACATCTCCAGGCGGTGATTTTTCCGACCTCATGATCCATAACAGCTGCTATGGTTCCAGTCATCACATCAACATTCCAGGCAGCAGGAAGTAAACAAAGGTAGGTCCCTCTGTAATTCAGCTTCTCTGTCTGGCCAGCACTTAGATGTGTAGCCACAGCTGGTGACAAAGGAAGCCGGGAAATGTGGCCTTTTAAGCATACTCCTCCACGTCCAGCGAGCAGCTCTGACTCCGTTGTAAGGAAGGAAAGAAAAGTTGATGGTGCAAAAAAACTAGAAGCCTCTCCCACCCGCACCTGCTTCGTGATACTCTTACCAATACTTCAACAGGAAAGTGTTTAGCCTCGTCTCAGGGACAATGTCTGGGACTCGGCTCTGCTGTTGCCTTGACTCCATCTCGCTTTCTGAAGTTCCCACCTGGTTATCATCACATGCTGTATGGACATCCTCCCTGCCCAGTCACCACCTCTTAGTCATTGATCACACTGGCACTTCTCATGACTGGACTCCTGCACCCCCCTTTCATAATACATAATCTCTAAAACACCTTACCATTGTTTCCCGGGGAGCCATTTCTATCATTGTTATTATAAATTGAAGCTCTGAAGTAAAACAATGACATTTCAGATCATTATAAAATTAACGTTCCTAAGATAGAGTTGATTTTGATAGTATCTGTGTTCAAAATTTACAGCTAAAATTAAATATGAATTTTTACTCTTATAGTAAGAAAGAAAAGGTTAACTTACTTCAACTAATTATGTAATGTACGATACCTTCCAAACAAAATTTTAGATGACAACATAGCTCACGCTCCCTGGGAACTGAATCTCCAGCTTTCATGTGCTGAAGTTTAAATCATTTTATGTTGCTCTTAAAAAATGTGTATTTTGTTTCTAACCAGTCACAGAGAGGGCTTGAGCCTTCTGTACCTACCGTACGCATACCACTAATCAATAGAGCTCGAGTCAGAGTAACGGTCACGCTTAGGCTCTGCCTCTTAGTACCTCCATGGCCTTCCCAGTCACTTAACGTCTCTGTCCCTCGTTCTCCTCACCCGTCCCTTTAGACAGCCATCCTGGGGCAGAGCAACTGGGGCCCACGATTGAACAGGGAGCAAAGGACTGGAAAGGCCAGGAGAGCTCCAAGAAAGAAAACCATGAGGACTCGCGAGATCAGAACTCACACAGGTTCCCAGTCACGCGAGGTGAGAGATTCGTACAAGTGCCTTCCTTCCGTGTGGCTACCGTGCTGGGCCCTCAGAGTGAGTGAGTGAACGTACGAATGAATGAATGACAGATAATCAAACGTTTTTCATGACCCACTAGAGATTAAATACATATTGTGTATATCATGAAACCAATAAAACACGTGGCCTTTATTCTTCCACAAGTATGTGCCTGATTTTGGGTGTTAAATTGGTAACTGTATTTGAGGGCACCTGGGGGTCTCAGTGGGTTAAGCCTCTGCCTTTGGCTCAGGTCACGATCTCAGGGTCCTGGGACGGAGCCCCGCATCGGGCTGTCTGCTCCGTGCGGAGCCTGCTGCCCCCTCTTTCTTCCCTTGCTCGTACGGGCTCTCTCTTTCTCAAAAATGAATAAAATCTTAGGAAAGATACATATTTGATTCTACAATATGTGTCTTTGGTATGTGTTAAACGGATGCTGTATTGGATTAGAAATACAGATCTCTGTTATGTGTTAACTCGATAGTGCATTTGATTATAAAATGCATACTTCTGGTATGTGTCAGATAGTGTATGTGATTATAAACACTTATCCCTTATATGTGTTAAAATGATTCTGTGTTTGATTACAAACATGTATCTCTGGCACGTGGTAAGTAGATAGTATATTTCATCGTAAGTAGATAGTGTATTTCATTGTAAAATGTGTATCTCTGGCATGTGTTACATGATATCGTGTCTGATTATAGGGGTGTGTACCTGTGCAGGACCCGGGGAGGTAGGACTGTAAAGGAGCTGCTAAAATACCTTCCTTTGAGGTGCCTGGGGGCTCAGTCGAGGGTGTGGCTGCCTTGGGCTTGGGTCATGATCCCAGGGACCTGGGACAGAGCCCCGCATCACATGGGGCCCCTCCTCTACAGGGACTCTGCTTCTCCCTCTACCCCTCTCCCCAACTCCTGTTTGTGCGCGCTCTCTCTCTCTCTCTCCTTCTGTCCTTCTCTCTCAAATAAATAACTGAAATCTTTTTAAACAATGAAAAGAAACCCCCTCCCCATAGTGCTGACCAGGAGCAGACTGCAGGGGGGTGAGCGATCGGTGCTCACCTCTCACCTCCCCTCCCCGGACCCGCCCCCGGCCCTCAGGGGCAGCCCCACGCGAGGACAGCTCTCCTGCAGCGCAGACCGTCTGACAAGCACCTGAGTAAGTGACGGGCCTGACGGTGGAGGGGGTTGCTCCCCAGTGTGGGGCTTCTGTGTGGCACACAGAGGGGACAGGGCTCCAGCTTTGGTCGGGCGGGGAGGGTATGTGGGGCCCTGATGCCTTTTCCCACCTGACAGCGCAGTTCTGCTAACAGAAGGAGCGCTGAATAGAACTTAATTTTTTTTTTGAAGTCTGTCTTTTTTTTTAAAACAAGGAATGAAGTTTTTAATCAAACGAAAAAAGAAGCTCCCTGATCATTCTGAATCTCGACATCCTGACTATAAAGTCCCAAGGCCCCTGTACTTAATTTTTTTTTTCTGTTGCAAATAAAAGTATTATGAAAAAAAAATCATATAAGCTGATCTGGAACTACCAGAATCATGATGAAATCGGATCCCTCAAAGGAAACCTGTGACTACAGGAGTCACAGGTAATTCATCGGTTACGAGAAACCGTTACCTGCCCTCTGTACTCCACCGGTTTCAGTCCCGCGTAAATGGGCACGAAACTGCTGGCCAACAGCACCTACGTGAACAAAATGAAGAAACAGCTCATAAACATGGGCATTCGCATGCGTGCAACAGATTTGATATATTGACTATAAAATGTGAAATTTTTAAAAAAAATAACATCATACTGTAAGACATGACATGAGTTCCGTTATCTCCAAAGAACACAGGACACTGAACTGGAAGACAGCACTTTCCATATCTGAGACGACCTCGGAGGGACACGTACAGTTCAATGTTCTGCGGCTCCGTGGGCTTCACGTGAGGGAGATCGGGATTTTAATTACAGACAACGGAGTCCCTCCCACAGTAAAGTCCGGGTAAGTCCCCATTCTCGAGTACGTCCTCCTGAGCTAGTCACAGCGCTCGAGCATAGACTAAAAATCATTCTAACATCGCACCCATGGGGTGCCCGGCTGGCTCAGTCCGTACAGCCTGACTCTTTGTCTTGGGCTCGTGAGTTTGGGGCCCACAGTAGCAGCAGAGTTTACTTTAAAATAAAAAAGCAAGAAAGTCAGGGGCACTCGTATTTTCCCGAGGAGCGGACGGCTCTGGTTTTCACAGCAGAGACCAGCCTGCAGCTTGGTGGTGTTCTACTGTGTCACAGGATGTTGCCAAGGGGAGCGAGACAGTTCGTGGGCTAGCAACACGGTCTAGAGACGTAATGAGGCCGTGGCAGGTACAGACCCAATTATCCTTTATCTTCCTTTGGGAAAGTCAAAAAAGGTTGCCCTTTAAAATATTACCATTTCTTCCAACGGAAGAAGCTGGGCATTGGGAACCTTTGACGTGTACGTGTTTTGTTTTCCAGATCCGTACTGTTCAGTTTGGAAAGACAAAGCAGTAGACACCGAACATTTAAGCTACAGTCTTCCAGCCTGTAAGTGAAGATGTTCTGGCTGTTCGTTGTGAGGGATTTCATGAGATTTGGGGGCGGGGCATATAGTATTCAGAAACGGGTTACGGCCCCAAAACGGATTTGTAAATCCAGTATGTAGAATTGTTGAGAACTCAGAGGTCATTGCCCCCAGTGAAACGGTATTGTCGGTATGTTTTCTGAGCTTAACTCCCAAAGGTCCATTCATTCTGAACTGTGAGTAAATAAGAGATCTGGTCACCAGCAACACGCGCTCTCTATAGGAAATGTCGTCGGGGTTGTCACCTGCCACAGCTGAAACCCACTCGGGTCTCCATCCTGTCCTGCAAGCCGGCCTCGGACTCCCTAGCTACGCAATGGCTCGTGCTGGCTCCTCGCTGCCTACAGCTGCTGAACGGTAAGGCTGTGTGTCTCCTGCACGGTCGGTCAGTCCTTCCCAGGGCTGAATCTCAACAGATGGCCATTGTCATCTCCCCTCCCCCTCTGGTGCTTCCCCGCCACTCTGACCTGCGGCAGAAACGAGGATTCTCCCATGTTGTTGGGGGCACGTCGAGGACAGACAGGGCCTCACAGCACCGGGCTCCTGCCAGGGGGCCCAGAAGCATGTAGGGCGTCAGATCTGTGTGGTCACAAATTCACTGGTACCCTCGCACAACGCAAGGACTGCAGCGGGAATGAGGGGAGGGAATGACACGTGTCACGCACCTCCGTGGTCTCAGGCTGCTGCTTGGTGCCAGAAGAGCTACCTAGTTAGTGCAGAAAGAAAAGCCAGGTACTAAGGACTGCGGGATGTGGAAGGCAGCGCATCAAACCAAAGCACAAGGGCAGCCTTGCGTGAGATGGGTGCACGGTCTACAGAGAAGAGTGAGTATAGACAGGCCCGTCGTGAGGCATTCCTCTCGGCACAAGTGGCTTGACAGAATGCCATGCTTTGATGCGGGGCGCACCCAGCGTACAAAGCAGAAAAGCACGAGTGGGTGCGCTCTCTGGATTGGCGGGACACTGCCTCCCCAGCCCACGGGGGACGACAGGGCAGAGGCCAACCTCCTGAGTCCCAAAGCATCAGCAGTTGGGTGCTTTTCAGACAAAGGCAGTTCTGCGTACGGGCCCTGCGTTCGCCCTGACTAAATCTGGCTCTGTCAGCAATTGGCTACTCCTTTCAAAAAACAATTACAGACCCTAGGTATGTTTTGCGGGCACACTGTGGTCACTTCATGACGTAATTTGGCAAAACGCCCCATCGCACTGTGGCAATAACGGACACGGTTTGTGGAGAGCACGTGTATTGGGAAATTGCACTACTTAACGCTCTTTAAAGAACCGAAGGTGCTCTGTAAACATAGCAATTTATTTCATTATGCTGCATAATTATATCTGCCCTGCAAAAAAAAAAAAAAAAATCACTACCATTAGAATCAGAATTATGTGTATTTTTCCCGCCTGTGTCAGAGTATAATGTGAAGTTCACACGTTAATGCCTGGAACTCTTTTGTGGTGTTTGGTTGAAAAATACTATTCCATTACTTTCCCACAGATAAGAACAGTTCGCGTCCTCCTCGCTGATAGGAAGAGCTCACCCAATGGGAAAATGCCTGCCGCTCCTCTAAATCAATGTATTTACTCTGCCATCCCTCACTTTCCTTTATATTCGCTGCTGGTTTGTAGGTCAAACTAAGTTTGGTGGGAAAATTAGCTCCCACAGTTAAGAACAAAGTGGCTTTTGTTATTCCTGTGCGGTCTGCTTCCGGCCATTTTATGGCAAGCAGAGGATTTTCTAAAGAAAGAGACAAGCGATATTCTCAGGCCGTTTGGTAAGATGGGAGGCATAAACGTGTCCTTCGGCTGTGTCTTAGCGTTGTTTTTCCAGGGAGAGTTTTCTCAGTCTCAGTCCCTGGAGAGCAGAGATTCTTAGCAAAGGGAGGGAGTGTCTTCGTTTAGTGCTGGGTGGAGACAGTACTGTATGTCACAATTCTGTGTGTGTGTGTGTGTGTGTGTGTGTGTGTGTGTGTGTGTTGGGGGGCGTGGGTACTACTGGCGTCTAGTGGGGAGGGCCCGCAGATCCTTCTACACATGCTGTAGTGCACAGGACACCCACCACAGAGAAACAGAGGACCCCAATATCAGGGGTACCATAGCTAACAACCCTGAGGCAGAAATTGGAGTCTTGCCATTCATGGCCCATCCCACGGCCCAGCGGCTTAAGCGATGCAGGTAGGTTCCAACATTGATTTGCTTTCTCTCCTTCTTACTAAATACACAATGATGAAAATACGTCAGTCACTTCCTGTAGCAACTGTGTAAACGTTGCCAAGTGCATATGCAATCCACGTTCTGACGAGCTCTTTTCATTTCACATTTTATAGAAAAGGGGTGTTTAGAAAATTATGTGGCCTGGCTTCCTCGGAGAATAAATTCCCAACAAGTTCCGGTCGTGCCTGAAGTTTGCTGTGGAGTTTAATGAGGACCTGGCTGTTTATTCAGAACCTGCTAGCATAGTTGAAATTCAAAGACAGATTCAAATTTATCTTCCCTAGTCTTCTCAAGATAAGGACCATCTTAAATTCAGGCCTTACTTCACCTTCAGAGGGCTCGATGGGAGAAGATCTTGCTCTCAGAGCATTCTCGCTATGTGCGCAGAAATCTAGAACATCCTAGCAATGGAAACAGAGTTGTTCTTCTTAAGGGGGACACAGGAAAAAGCCTTTCTGGGAATACAGATCAATGAGCTTTCACTTGGGTGAAAAGACCAGCTCAGACCACTCATGTCCATAAGCTTGAAACCTGAAGAATTCAGTGACTGATCCGAATCCAGACAAGTGGCCAGCACCACCGCTCCACGGCACGGTTAATTTCAAAATCATTTCTGCTCAGCTGTGCAAGTGACTTACGAGTTTCTTATAAACAAAGGATTTACCTCCCTCATCACACTTGGCTGAAGGCTAATATTAAAATGTGCTTGGATTTCCTGATCGCATCTTTCCTTGTGAAGACAAATAGCACAGACATCAGTGGATAATGTGTAAAGGGGCTCGCAAGGAAAGGACTTGACACAGACCCATGGCACACAGGAAAAGAGTCAGACGTGCCAGGGTCCCTGAGCTGGTAGGTACTCAAAGGACCTGAGGAAGCACTTCCATGGATGTGATCTCTGCCTCGGACTGTGGGATAGGTGGCACAGCGTGGATTCCAACTTACAAAGAAACCAAGGGATGGAGAATTTGTGCCAACAATCCCCAAGAGACCAAGGGATGGAGAAGCTCTGGCAACGATCCCCAAGAGACCAAGGGATGGAGAAGCTCTGGCAACGATCCCCAAGAGACCAAGGGACGAAGACGTTGTGCCAAAGATCCCAATCACGCTCCACCCAACACAAGGGCTAAGCTCTTCCATCACCAAAGCACCATTGCCTTTGCAAAATGGGGGTCTCAATTTGGTACTCATCTGTTGAAAACAACCAACCCACAGCCATAAATGATCAGTGGACTTCATCCTCCAAGGGAACACTATTTTCATCCGCCCCTCAACTCACCCCCCTCCCCCGAAAAAAGTGTGGCAGCCAATATGAGTCTCTCTGGTTGGGGAGAACAAAAAGTGAGGCATTTGCAGGAGGGGGGCCTCTTGGGGCTCCGGTCTAAGTGTATAAAGGGATCCTCGGCGGGGGTCATCTCCTCCTTGTGTGGTAGCACAGATCACATGTGTCTCCCTTTCTTGGCTCAGTCACTACAGGGGAGCAGGGGCGGACTTGACAGAAGTAAATTCTGGACAAAGTAATATGTGGAAACCACATGCCTGCCTTGTAGTGGTAGAGAATGGGGCGGAAACACCACCAGACTACCAGCCCCAACGATCTCAGTCTTATCCAGGCTGCTCTAACCAAATACTATAAACTGCTGGACTTATAAACAACATCAAAGTTCTGGGGACTGTGGAGCCCAAGAACCCGGCCTCAGCAGGTCTGGTGTCTGGTGAGAGCCCACTTCCCATCTTCTCACTGTGTCCTCCTGTGACCGAAGGGGCAAGAGTGCTCTCTGGGGTTGCCTTATAAGGTAAGGGCGCTCCTCCCGTTCGTGAGCGTTCTGCCCTCATAACCTAGTCACCTCCCAAAGGCCCACACCTGCTAATACCATCTCGTGGGGGTT